AGGAAAAGTTGTCATGTGTATTACCGAACAATATGGCATAGAGAGAAAAAAAATAACTATGGTGATTCACAAGTTCTGGCATTATTGTTGTATTTTCTTGAGGACAGTTGGTAGCCAGGTACTCAACCCAAAATAGGCCCAGTCATCTCTCTAGCTGTGTTGAAGTGTTTCAGGAACTGTTCTTCTTTATCTCTGTATTCAGTTTGACTAATTAAAATATAATAAAATAAGTACAATGTGTGTTAGATTTACAAAAAACAAAACTACTTGCCATGGTGCGCCGTCGGCCGTCATCAAAACTAACAGACCAACACCGCGCGTTACTACTCCACAATTGAACCAAAAGGAGAGGAATTAGTTTAGTCAGTTGTGCCGAATATTTAACAAAATAAAACTGCTCTGATATTAAATTATGAATAATGCTGTTCATCGGTGTTGATTCTTACCGTATTTTATGTAAAGAAAAACAATTTAATATTAATCGTTTGGATTGGTATTTTACCGGTTTTCGTTTAAAGAGTTTGAATATGATGTTATAGCTTGGTGAAAACGTTTGATGCTCTGATTTTCAAGTTCTTGTTATTTATGGCGGAAGTCACTATGCATCCTTGCGAACTCGAATTTCTTTTCCTTTCCTTTTGTCTGGCGGAAATCGTAGCGTAATTAATGAAAGTTTCCTTGTTTAGAATCTTGATTTTATTAATTAATTTATTCTTATCAGTAAATTATTTGGTTTAGTCTGACAAAGGTCATAAAAATTTCAGTTTTCTGGCCCTATCCTAATGAATATCTCTTCTTTCTTGCGGAAGTTGTGTTATACCTGAACAGTGGTCAGACGCCCGGGCGGAAGTCAAGGTAGGCCTATAGCCTTTGCTTACGAAAGGACTGGAGTCAGGCGAGCTGAGGACACACGCCCGTTGTGTAAGGTGTAAACAATTTGGGTCGCCTGAACAATTAGTTTTATTTTATTTAGTTATTTTTATAATATTTACGTCATGTTTTGATGATTTTTCATGAATGGTTGCTGTCAAGGAGGTGGTAAGATGTCGTGTGTTAAATATTAACTTATATAAGTAAGTAATTGCTAGCTCCGGCCACTTGTTATTTTCATTGATTACACAGGTAAATATAGTTCACGCCCAAAGTGTTTTTTATTACTGTTATATGATTTTCTCGTATATACAAAAGGTGGGGTTGTTTTGTAGGAAGTTAAGCCTTGTTATTGTTGAGATCACTGACAAGGCGGACTTTAGGTAGGGTGGTGTGGGGGTGTGGAGGTACCACGTGAGCCCGGGTGGTGGAGACGTAAATATCCGTGGCTGGGTGTGATGGAGTTAATATTAGCCGGTAACACACGTGGAGGGTGTGTGAGTGGGGGTGAGGAATGCTGGCCAGCTTGTGTGTGGGCGTGGGAGCCGCCCACGCCGCGCCTTGACCTACCCACTGATGTGAGAGCTCCTGGCGAGCCCCCAGTCAAGGTATTGTTTGCCCAAGAGAACACATGAGCCGACTGGAGACATTATTGCACTGTGTGGAGGGGGTGAGGCGGTACACAGCGGGCACCACAAGTGTGTCCTGGCCTGTCACTCACTGCTGGGCAATGATAAACCACAGATAGTCCTCACCCACCACCACGAAGTAATGATGTGCCACACTAGTGATTTATGGTGTATATGTCATTTGATTTTTATAAACTTATTTATGAAATTAAGTGAATATGCTGTGTATATAAGTAATAATGGTTTTTATGTGCGTTTATGAATGCAGACGTAAGACAAAAAACCTCTTCGTTTTGTACGGTGATTTTTTTTTCATAGTACTGTTACTTCACTTATTAAAAAATGCATTTTTTTTCAGTTGTGCCTTATTTATTATTATTATTATTAACATAGTTGCAAAACAAGATTTTTTTCACCATTTTTTTTGTGGTCTCGCAGTTTCTAATATAATACACGAATCTGTAAAGTAACAGCGTTTCAATAATATGGCGGACGCGCGCAACTTCCTTGAAATCTCCCCAATTATATTATCTTTGTCATAGTGTCCAATTATACAATATATTCTATAGAACAAAGACTAACTGTTTGAGCAATGCCAAACGATCTGTGCCGCAATTCAGCTTCGGTGTATGGGCTGTCCCACACGTCAACATATGATGTATACTACGCAGTGCAATGAGGTCTGTGCCACACGACCTCCCAATGTCTCTTACATAAACGAGGAACCGCGGGGGAGCTTTCGTTCAACCATCATCAACGTGACGTCACAGTGGTGGATAAAATCAGGTTGAAACTGTGCTGCTTCTTACAGTCTCCGGGAACAACACGCACTATCTGTTAATCATTCTATAGTAACGCAACATTTCATACATATTGGAGTATTCATATCATTCTGTCTTATTCGACCCTGTTGTTCTTAATCCTATATCCGGTCTGATCACCTCCCTCTTTCCAACCCCTGTTGTCCGCACCACTATTTGGTGTTGGTGAAAACAGTGTGCGTCAAGTGTTCAAGTGCTGGACTAGGCACACGGTAAAGTGGTGCCCAGTTTACAGGGAGCCAAACGTCAGAGATATTTTAAGCGGTGTTCTATCACTGATAACGAGGACACCACCGGCTATAAACACACTATTAGCGTAATCAATGGAGTCGGCTTGTGTTATGTTTTTCTCAGTAGCTGTTACACAAGGAAGAGACCTAGGTTTTGTGTGTGTGTTTTCACGAGTACAGGTAGATGGATTGTAAGTGTGCTGATGTGTAGAAGATCCTGGCTAGTTTATAGTAAATATATGTGCGACGTGTTTTACGGATAGGTGTAGTGTGTTTGGGTTATATTTATACAGAAAAAAATGGGTTATGGACGTGATTGGAAGGGAAGGGAGTACAGGTAAGTTGTATTCTCTTCCTCAACTTATGTAATAAACTTCGTGTGTGTGTGTACGGTGAGGTTGTTAGAGTTAGCGCCACCTGTTGTATAGAGCGTGTGGGTATAGGGGGGGGGGAGTCACCAGACCCTCACATCTTGACTCCGTAACCCTGGCCCCTGTGAGCCTTGGCAGGTCACTTACGACGTAGTAATACGGTAAGACTTGAAGGGGCGCGCCCACTTGTTCATGGGCGTCACCCACCACTTGGCATGGGCGGGACACGCCACACGCCCGGCACGCCCGTCCCAGAATGCCGCGTACGCCCACTACCAGTGTTATCTCCAGGCTACAGTACCCAGTAATCCTGGCCCACACCTGGGCCACGGGTAGCTGGTATGTGGCCCCCGCCCTCCACTTTCAACTCCGCTGCTCTACTTCCCCTAGGCTACTCCCTGGCCAGTGCCCAGTACTGTACCCACTCTGTACCTGTAGTAGCTCCACACTGAAGAGTAGCCTAGTCCTACATGGGACCATATCGCCAGGTTAAGTTCTGTAATCTAAAGTGATGAGTGTAGGCTTACTGCAGTGTGGTGGTTTAAGGATAAGGTGATCGCGTGGTAGTCTTTGATAGGCTTTACTTCCACTGGATGTAGAATGTTAAGTTGGGTTGCAGTGTTATTTGGGGAGTGTAAGATGTGTCTACGGGTGTGGAGAGAGAGGCGTATATGTGGGTGTTGTGGTGATAGTGTGTGGTGTTGACCTTGGTGTCCCTCCCACTTGAGAGGGGAAAAACGACGTGTCGTGAAGCGTTTCCTTGTATGGAGAAAATGATGTGTAAATTCAGCTGTGCAGACCAGCGTCACATACATACAACCAGACACGTCTGATCCATCATATTTTCGCCCACGTACACGACTTGTTTGTACTGTTGCTTGGATGTATGCTGGTTGATGGGTGTAAACATCTGTGTTAAGAGTTTGCACGATGGTTCAGTTGTGTGATGCTTTACTAGACTGACGAAGAACTGAAGGGGAGATCAGAAGTTACTACCTGTGCTAGTGTCATGTGTATATGGTACACTATTTACAGTTTGCTATTCTTGTATGGTACTCATAATTATCACTTTTGTATTATGTGCATAATCAAGTTATTTAACTTGTATCATCAGATAAACCAGAGGCGGAATACACTACAGAACATAGCTATCAGGCCTGGCCTAGTCATTGAATACAAAAAATAAATATTTTAATTGTAGGACGCCAAGTACATGCTTACTTAGGCTATTAACCAGACACCCGTGCCAAGTTAGGCATTGCAGTTATAGGTATACTAGAACCTCTTCCGGGACTAAAGACAGATTCATAGAGCATAGTGGAGTGGGGTCAACAGTAGTTGTGGGTGGGAGTCGCACAGAGCGATGGTACAGGCAGTGGTGACAGGATACTTGCCAGTGTCCACCCACACCTCAAAGTTTGGCTCAGCCTTGTGGTGGAATATCACTGTTTAACACCTACATGTAATAGGTGTTCAGACACGCAGCACCATAAGTTATATCCTCCTGCACAATGAATGAACGTTCACTGTCACGATGTAACATTATTATTTGAGTACATTGGTACTCGTACCCAGTCATGGAAGAATATCTGTATAATTCTTTTATTTATTTATTATCGCCCCCAGTCCTCTTCGACTCGTTCTATACTTACATATATATACATTAATAATATATGTTTAAATCCTTTTTGGGTGGAGTGGTGACCAGGATAGCGAGTTGAGCACATGTGTAAAGCAAGGACACCCACTCCTTCCCAGGGGGACTTGACCGTGCGCCATATGTTACCAGCATTCGTTTAACGGTGTGCATAGATTCTTTTTTACAAGTCAATTATAAGTCACATCACCCCCAGATATAGTATCTAAGGTCTAAGGAAGGGGGAAGTAAATATCAATAGAATAGAAACGAGAGTAAGGCGAGAGGAGGGGTGGCAGTGTGGGGTTGACGGTAGGTAGGACAAGGTCACACAGATGAGGAACACCCCAGGCAAATGATAATTTCACGTTTCACAGAATTGGTTAGGCAGTGTTGGTAGGGTTTATTATGTGTATTTACGGTATTGTTTTCTTCTGTTACAGTGCATGAAATGCTGCATGTGGCGCGTGAGTGCTCGGCAAGGGAGGCGGCAGGTCACCTTCTTACCTTCGGCGAATTCTGCCTCTTTACCAACGAGCTTCGACAATGTTACGACAGGGAGTAAGTATTCGCGCCTCTTGGAAGGATACACAATAGTGTGTTAAACTTAATATGAAACAGAATCCCCGATCTTGTTTGCGCGTCCAAGTGAGAATACTAATATGCAGTTCAACAGTTCGACTGTTCTCCGGCCTTGTGACATGAACAGCGAGTTTTTCTCCTAATGTCTCGGAACGCCTGATGTTATACAATACTCTTTTATCGGGACTGCATGCTGCTAGAGCAGTGGGTATCATCTGAGTGAAGCCAGGCAAAATAATATACGGTACATTTTACACATCGCCACATGTGAGTTTTCAGGCATATAGCATTTTGTACATTTCAGAAAATATTTTTATGGATATTACGGGCAGTGAAAATGCCAATTATTCTTAAAAGATAGAAATGCCGTTTTCTACAAAAACTAGTGTTTACATAACCAGGTTAAACTCTGAATGGAGTTTAATCTTGTCTTTCAGTCCAAGCTAACGAATTCTTCATACAATAATAATAATAACAACTATCATTATTATTATAACAATTCAAAAATTTATAACAAAATACTAAAAATAAAAATAAAATACTAAAAATAATAATAATAATAATAATAATAATACCCATAAATAAATACACAAACGAAAAAAATAATTCAAGAATGAGAAACGATATACATTGTGTATGTTGTGTTGTCAATGGTAAGAGAAACATCTGAGACCCTGCAGTTGTGTGTAAATGAGGCAGAAATTCAGATCAGCAACCTGGGACTTGGTCACAATTTTCGCGGTGCCAAATGGCAACAAGGTCTACCGTTAGACAACACATTATGCTTCCAATATCCTCCCAGGCGGTATAACCTCCCTGTTTTATGCACTTATTTTGAACTAGGTATAGTACATTGATCTAACCAAACTCAACTTAAACAATTGAAATACAGCACAGTGTGTTGTAAGATTAATAAGTTAGGTGCAGGTGGTTCATTTTACCTGTTCTGTAAGAAGAGGCCTTTATGATAGAACTCAGTGAGTGGAATATAATCTCTATGGTTTTATGGAAATAAAAGTATCCCTAATGGGTTAAAATTCATTGTGATAGTGTAAGAGATATATACCATGGATAGTATATACGGCAACATATACTGTACTATCGGTGCATTCTATAGAAAATAAAAACTAGAAAAACAACGTTTATTATAGTTACAGTTTAGAACTTGTTTAAAATAAAACTGCCAAAAATTTTAAGTATTCTGTCTGAAATGTTATGTCGTAAGGGGATCATCATCAATAATTTATATCTAAATGTACAGTCAGGGTCAAAAGATCACTCCCTCTCAAAACGAAGTACTGTACTGTACTGTATATACAGCACAGTAGCATCGAACCCAAACGAGATACAGTACAACAGTTAGGGTAATTCAGTTTGGAGATTCATTCCCATGACTCAGTTTCACCACAAGGAGCAAACTTTTGTCCTTGACTGTACACTATGGTAATTATAAGATACTGTATACATATACAGTAGAGATCTTTACAGTACAACATGAATGTATGAGGCAATTCATCAGTACTGTTTATTGCAATTTGCAATTAAAATGTTATGAGCCAAGAGTTAACATTACACATCAGTACTGTATGTTAAAGTAGCTGAACTCCAGAATGATATGAATTTAAGAATAACTGAAAGAAGGTTTTCTCCACCTTGCTACCGAAAAAACTATATTAAATGTTGCAAATAACATAATTTTCTCTACAAACAAGTACTTTTAGCTTGGAAACACTTAGCAGTAATTATTATTGAGAAATTAAATGGCATGGGCTAACAGTTAAACATTGTAAATCATTCTTCTTTTCTAGGTCCCCACGACCAGTTCCCCTCTCCAAACTTTCCGACAAATCTTGTGTAGACAAGAAAAGAAGTGAGAGGAAAATGTCAAGTAAGTACTCTTGATGCAGTTACTTCAAGCACTTAATTCATTTTAAAATTGAACTGGAAAGTAAAATTTTCAAAGGTCATCTAAAAACATTAGGACAGTATTCTGTAATTGGAATAAACTTACCAATATGCAGGGATATTAATCTCACACACACCCCTATAGTCAGAGCCATTTGGGGGGGGGGGGGTAATATAGCTCAAGGGGTTAGTTTTACTGGTAGAACTTTAGACCTGAAAATCATTTGTACAAGGTGTACCAGTATGCATATGATGGGATTAGTGACTTGAATTTTTGGGGGATTACAGGTGTATTTGCATTTATTGTTAATTTTTCATAATGGTGATTGAGATGGAAAAAACAGCATTCACTGTTGAAAGTTTGCAAAACTGGTCCCAAAGAAGTAAATTACATATCCAATGACTCAATTATTTTGGGACAGGTTCTTATTTTCACGAGCAGTTGATTATTTTATAAAATGTTGTAGCTGTAAAATTCCGGTCCGACTAATTACCCAAATGTAGCAAAATGTAGCCGCAATGAAGTCAAATAATGGTCCTACATGAATAAATCGGACTGCTAATCACTTCTCGACTCGTATTTGGTGTCACAAAGTCACAAAAAATTGGAAAACTTACTTTAATCTGAGTTAGTAGATCGTGTGCATGTACCAAGGGAGCGAGTAATTACCCAAATGTAGCCACAATGAAGTCAAATGATGGTCGTACAAGCGTAAATCGGGCTGTGAATCACTTCTCGATTATTATTTGGTGTTATAAAGTCACAAAAAATTGGTAAACTCAATTTAATCTGAGTTGTGTTAGGTTAGGTTAGGTACATGCACTTGATCTATTAATTCAGATTAAATTAAGTTTACCAATTTTTTGTGACTTCGTGACACTAAATACCAGTCGAGAAGTGATTGGCAGTCCGATTTATTCATGTAGGACCATTATTTGACTTCATCGCGGCTACATAAGTTGAAACAGTTTGTCATGCATACATTCTTTGAAAAATTATGTTCTCTACAGTGACTCTTTGTAAAATTTGTAAACAAGGTACTGCACATGTAAAGTACTGCATGTTGTGAGATTCTTTTGTGCATGTTAAATTGAAGGAATGTTTATTGCTCAGCAGAGTCATCGCCAAAGTATGAAGTATTCCTGGGTGGGTCGTGCAACCCTACAACCTGGCGGCAGAACGTAGCCATCCCCATGTTGAAGGACCAAGGCATATCTTTCTATAACCCGGTAAGATATTGCTGTTATATGACATTGGTGACATTCCTGTTTTTATATGCAGAATGCAGTGAGACATCTGAGAGGGCTGACGTTGAGTCTTGAAATCTGACGGTGCAGCACTTAATGTTACTTGCTATAATTGCTTTACTATAAATAGATAGAGATAGGCTTTACTATAAATAAATAGAGATAGACATTTATGATAAAGACAAATCTGATACTGAACTCTATATTGTTTCTATCTGTTATACTTTCTTTAGTTAATTGTGTGTTTGTGTTTACAGCAAGTGTCTCACTGGGAGGAAGCACTAGTAGAGCTGGAATACCAAGCCAAACAAACTGCTTCTGTCTTGTTTTTCGTTTTGGACCGTAATACCCGAAATGTTGCATCCATGGTTGAAGCAGCATACATGGCTGGCTGCCGTCGCAAGCTGGTGGTCGTCATGGATTCCTACAGTGGCCCAGGACAACTCATCAATGGGGAGGCAATATCTGAACTGTGAGCACAATAATTTACCTTTTTCTGTACAGTAATACAGTTTTCCTGTCCACCAACTTACAGTTTGACAACCTTTCTATCACCACTATTGTCCTGACTTTTTATTGTAAAGAATTTTGATTCTTTTTATACCATGTATTCCACACTTTCACCCTCTGCATGCATTCCTACCATTCTCTCTCCTCCATTTATTTCTAGCATTCCACATTTCTCCTTAACCAACTTCCACATTTAAGCCCCACTCCCCTTGCTGTTGTAATCACTCCATCTTTAACACTGAAGCATTCACTTTAGTTATTCAGGTATACCAAAACCTCTTTTGTTTTGTTTTTCCATCGAATGTTATGCATACCTGTCTACTGTACTGTACTGTACTGTACTGTATACCATATAAAGAAATTGAACGAATTCAGTATCAGTTTATCATGACCCATAATTGGCTATTTCAGAGAGTACCAAGATCTGACAAATGGCCTTCACACAGTCCAGGACCTTGTAGAGCGTCAAGGAATCCCCGTCTTTGGCGAAATTAACCATGCCCTCAACTGTACAGCCAAGGTGAGATTATGATGTGCAGTTGAAGGGAAATGACAGTTACTTTATAAGGAAATTTGTTGCATTTTCAGACTTTTTTAAAGAGAAAACTAATTAGATTGTAAATCATAAATGTTACATTGGATTTTATTTCTTTCATTAAAAAAAAAAATGCATCGTGTATCAGTGTCAAGACTTCAAGTTTGGAGAAAGGGTTACGTATTGTAATGAATCTGAAGGATTTAGTTTAAACAATAAATACTGCACTACTTGATACATGTAATAGCAAAAATATTGCTACACTTTCAGAGTCTTATTTTATAGGGTGGTAGCATTAGACACTAGTGCAGTATTGATATGGAAAATATCATCTTTCAGTATTTGTTTTATCTCAAAACACATTACAGTATTAGGTAAGATACTACAATATTGGAAACATGTGTATTGCATCAAATTTTATTCTGGCACCCTCCATTACACCTTTAGTGGAAAAAGACATGAAATTTATCAGTGTAAATATTTTATTTTCAGATTTTGCGGGAGAACCTGCGTCCTCAAGACTTAGGTTTAGAGGATCACGTTCAGCCTATTAAATACCCTTATCTTCAACTAGGGGATAAGCTAATGTGAGTAATTCCTAAATCTTTTGGCTGCATGTACTGTCTTACTGACATAGAATAGATAAAGTCTGTTACCATATGACAGTAATCACAATGTGAACTGTGATGGTTATATTCTTCAGAGCTTTTTACTCAACTCTCATATCATACTAAATTGCTTCTTCTTGTTGATTTTGAATTATTATTATGGTTTAAATAAAAAAGAATGGAAGATTACAATTAACAGTTAAATATTTGAAATTTTTCAGAAAACTGCACGATGCCTTTGTCAACACGAATTCAGAACAAATAACGTTAGCAGAGGTATGTAACGATAGTGTTATTGCCATGTAATGATATCTTTTGTTCTTTGATTTTTTATTGTTTATTATTGAGGTGTCTTTATTGAGTAGTTTTCTTATAAGATTTTTAAGAAGAAATATTTTCTTGCATGTCATATTGATCCTGTTTTATGCATGAGTTAGACTTGTGAATAATTTTGTTGTCCATAACGTGAGACACATCATTACTAGAATTTTTATTTTGTTCTTTCTAGGCCCGTGTAGCGTTTAAAGTGGTGACTAATAAGGACCTGACTACAGAAGTACTACAAGCTATAGTCGCTGCCAAGAAAGGTATGACCAAATTACACCTTGTTACATAGTGCAGACAGATTTTGCATGTAAATTCATTAATGAATATTGTACAGTTATATTCTGTACCTACAAACTACAATCCATAAAGCTGTGAACTGTAACCAAGAAACTCTTAATGATAAAAGAAAAAGTGTGTATTGTACTGTACAAATGAAGTTATCATTAAATCTAGAATCTGAAGAATTGTTAATGGGTGTTAATTGATACTCTATATATTTAGAGGAGAGCAGAAGTTTCCAGCATCACTCTTCATTGTATAATCAGACTTTTGTGCATAATCAGATGTAGTTACTTTGTCTTAGAGAGTTCACTGTTATACTTGCACTGTCTGGAAAACATAATTAATATACTGTACAGTTATTTGAATCAAACTTATTCAATCATTTGCTAATGTGTATTTTTTTTTATTATTATTTTAGGTATAGAGATGCAAGAATTAAATGGTGTAGAACTCCCACTGAATGAAGTGTTTCTCACATTTGATGAATTTTGTTGTATAGTTGCTGAGTTTAAGAACCAGCACTTAGAGAGCAAGAGACTGTGGGATGTTTTCACTCATTCTGTACAGAAGGTACTAGGTAAGTAAGTCATCCTTGTGTCTTGTATGAATTTAGGCCAAGAGAATATTCTATAAGTCTACATAAATATCTTTTTATCTCTTATTCAAATTCCCTAATTTACCACATACATTGCACAAAGAATAATAAATGACTGAGATGTATCACTAAGTCTGATCCCACTTGGAGCAGAAGGTAGTTTTTGGAATGCTATTTTAAAATCTACATACAATACATTTGATCACTTTTGGAGATAAGATAGCAATAATGAGAATATAATTTTAAATAAGGTGGCTGACATCATTTCTTCAAAGTAATGATTTAGAATTGTGTTTTACATTAACAGGTTGGGCACTCCCACGCAGACCGCTACGACCAATCAACAGCACTGGAGGTCGAGACATATATTTAGGAGGTTCTATAGGAAATAGAGTTTCATGGCGTGATGATATTGCCATTCCTATGCTCCGGAAACATGGGTTGTCTTATTTCAATCCTGCAGCAGGTGCCTGTTCTGGCCGTTTGTTGCCCATGGAAGCTGCTTTAATGGAGCATTCAAGGGTCCTGTTCTTTGTGATTACAGACACAACTAGAGGTGTCTCGGCCATGACACTAGTAAGTGTTACGTATTTAAGAAATTGTAATCGTTGTATATCATAATTTTTTTCTCATTTACTATGCTCTTTATAGGAGTTAATCAAATTGATCAATTTAATTTACTGTATTTTGTAAATTTCATTGTGAACTTTCAATTTACAGTATTTTTATCTATTATCAGTTTGGTCCAAAATATATTGGCTTATGTAAAATCCTACAGTACATGTACATCACTATGTTTAGTCAATGTACAGGTATTTTGGTTCATTCATTACTTATACCTATATATGTAACTCGATATTTATTCAGTAAACTTTTTCCTACAAGTTCACTTTTGTTTACTATATACAGTATACATATACAGTACAGGTATACAAACAGTGGTAAACAGTTGACCAAGGATAGCCCAAGAAGTTTGGTTTTACCAGGGTCCCATGTGGGATTGGAGGGACTAATCAAATAATATTAAATCTACAGAAATAGACAAAATAATTTTGTGACATGCACTACATTACACTAGACTAATAGGCCCATTGTTGTCACTGCTCGGTCTACATTAGTCGTCCTCTCATCAATACTGTATACCTCTTCATCAATCTCTGGAACAATATACCTCTTCATCATTCTCTAGATCAATAAACCTCTTCATCATTCTCTAGATCAATATACCTCTTCATCATTCTCTAGAGCTTTCTTTTTTTTTACTATCTTTACAGTATCTCAAAACTCTTCTATTTTAAAGTAATATTTGTGTGCTCCTGCTATATTACTTTGGCCACAACTAATCCAACTGTTATTGCTCAAATCTTTTTACTGTAAAATAAAATATCAATTTCTTTGCCAGTGAATTTTAAAAGAAAACGATATTTACAAATCCATTTTTACTTTCTTTTTCAGGCCTCACACTACATAGGGCTTGGTTGTAATGTTGTGCTGTGTGTCCAGATGATAACAGAAGGGTCACTTGTTAATGGAGAAACGGTAAGTTTATATGCAGTTATTATTAACGATAGCTATCATAAGTTGAATTATTATTTTAAAATTTTTACACACACGTTTCCACATTAGAGAGAAATAAACATTAACAATAATTTTTGTCACCAGTTATCAAGATTAGCACTGAAGGATTACAACAGGGGAAGAAGTTATCTCACCGACCAGGCTAATAAGGACGGGATCCCAGTTTTCGTAAACATCCAGGAAGGTATTGAGTGTGCCATTAGCAAGTGTCGTGCGAGATAGTCAGTGTAGACAATGTACAGAAACTTGTGTGTGCGTGTGTGTGAATTACAAAGTGAGTGATGTAAACATGAAGGCACTATTCTCTTTTGATGCATAAAGGACATATGGTTTGTCCTAATTAAGACAAATATCCTGATATTGGAATATCAATTCCATGGAAATTCGGCCACTGAATTTTGAAACTCAGTGTCATAAATGTTGAGAAATTTACTAGTGCTGCAAGTATAAATATTTAGTAATCTGAAAAGGAAAATAGCATGTGTGGAGGAACTCCAAATATTACTGGGAAAATTACTATATTTCAAGTGCAAAAAGAAGTATGATTAAGATTGTCTTCAATTCCATGGGAATTATCGGTTTACCAGATAGTAATGCAGTGAGTGCAGCTTTTGGAGACCCACACTGCTTCTTAGTGCAGCAAGTATTGGGCAGCAAGAAGAATTCTGTGCAGTTAAAAAGAGTTGTGAAAGTCTAACCATAGACTATGTCTTGACTTCAGTGAAGTTCACATAAGCTATCCATTTACTATTTTGTGTAATTTTGTGTGCATTTGGCTATTAATTCTAAGTGTGCACATAACTCGTCTTCTGACAAATCCTCATGGAAATTGGCAGATTTGCAGACTATAAGGCGTTAAAGCCTTGATGCTGATGTGATTTAGCATGAGGTAATGTGAATTACTGTGCCAGTGCAATCTATCAAATCATTGATAATCATCATTGGTCCAGAATGGCAGGAGCCACTTTGAGATGGGAAACAAAATTTTTATGTTATACGATTTTCATTACTGACTGGTGTAAAATCTAGTAGAGAGCAGTTACTGCTTGAATATGCCAACTTCCTTGTACTGTTTTTTTTTATTTATTTTTTTTTTTTATTTAAAGGTTACAAGAAAATTCTTTTATCAAAAGTGGAAAACCACACCATGTGCTTTGCATAATTAAAAGTCATGATTTAAATTAGGTTCTTTGGAAGATGCATTAGATTCCATTGCTATCAAGGAAGTTGTGAACAACTGAATTGAAAGCATAGTTAAAAAGAGTTAAACTGTGGGTCACATGCCCATGACAGGAGCAGCTATTTTGATTCTTAGAAGATGTATTCATCCCGAAAGACAATTTACCTAACACTAAGGACTAGAATAGCTGATCATCCTACATTAGCAGTGGACACGGGAAAACTTCTCAGGTTACAGGAAGATACATAGTCAGATTGTAATTTTGGAAAGTGAAATCTTAATCAAACGGATAGTTGTGAAAACATTTCTCAACCAGTGAACAAGCACCATCAGTACAGTATTGTGTACTGAGGCTGGCCATGTGATTTTCACTTTCCAAAAACAATCATGGTACTTTGCATGTCCATTGTCAAGTACAGCGGTGAAAGTGTGCCCCATACTGGTTCTAGGAGGAGACCAAGTACAATCTCCCACTGCAGGAAAATCTCCAGCGTTGGATGCAATAGTGTGTAATTTAATATTATATATGTGAGGTGTTTGTAGGGCCGAAAGAGGTATGTTTCTCAATGTTTAAGATTCTCACTAGGTTGTACAACATGATGGCGCATCACTTACCAATACATTCCCATTGTTAAGTGTTTTAATGGTGCTTCTACGTTTTAACAGGGAGGGTTACCGGTACAAGGCAGCTTAATCTTCACATTGCATCTGGCTTAACGCTCACTTGATTAAGCTATGTCCACTGTCATTCCATTGTTTTTAATGACAGTGATGATAGTAAAACATCTCCAAATCAACCAATAATTTTTCCTAAATGTTTTATACAAAAAGGGGTTGTTAGCATTGAAAATTTTAATAATGTTAGCCCTTACAAAAAAAAAAAAGCAAATTTTGATTTTTTTTTTAAGAAACAAATGAAATAGAATTTATAGATTTGTACAAATTTCTTCAGAATAGTTTGAGCTGTGCTGCTCATAAGTCACAAAATTACCATTTGGTTTCAACTCTTAAAGTATCACCTAATTGTTAATTATAGATATTTAATAAAAATGATTATGCACTATCATCATTCATATATAAAACCATTTCTCATTATAATTTGGGTATCCAAGCAAAATGTTTGTGAAATATTTTGATCACCATAAATTTTGTATCATGTCACATTTTTATGCATTCAAAGCTGGCAAAACTTTCAAGATCTTGGTTAGATGGTTTATTAACTGACTACAATAAGGGTTTGTGTCAGGGTACAAAGTTAGTATGATTTTGTCTTTGGAGCTGCCTGTGCAAAGGTGTTTATAATGTGCGTTTGAGTGTAAAAGTCAGGTGACCTGGTAACTACGAACTACTGAACTTTAACATGCACCAAAATTCATTTTAGTTGAGATTTATATCTCTAGCCCTTGTTCAAAATTACCAGGCCAGTGATTTTTGAGTCCATAAACACATTAAAACATGTTTAAACACAAAGGGTTCAATTGACAATGTTGAACCCCTGACATGACCGCTTCACTCCTCCAGCCTTTAGAACCCAGCAAGATTGCATGAAATATTGGCTGAAGAGTCATAGATATTTTTTCTGTATCAAGTAAATGAAAACGTCACCACCTGCTGGTTTGTGAAGGCTTGTTGAAAGAATCTCGATCACACTGAGTCTTGTTTAAGAATTAATGCACATCATGCCAAACCTTCCTCTTCATAAGGCAGTTGGTAGAAATGTACAGCCAACTGGTCACATCACTGTAAAGAAATCTCCATTTAAATTAATGTGAAAATATCACATGTTGATTAAATACAGTTTAAACTCTATAATATTAAACAATAGGTAAACAGTACAGTATTGTGATTTTGAAAATATATCTTTATTTACAGCTCCAGTTAGAATCAGTGAAAGATCTTATGAAACCAAAAACGATACTTTTGCTCTACTTACTAACAATGTGTGACAGAGTCGTGACCAATAGTCCAAGTGGCTAACGGGCCAATCTGTGGCAAAGAGGATAAAGTAAAGTAAAAAAAAAAAAAAAAATATCAGATTATACATCTAGTACAGGTATATTACAGCGGACTTTGAATGAGAGCGCTATGTTTGCTTTAGAGGAAGTGTTGGATAAGGAAAGTGTAGGCGTTAGGTTTTTGAATAAAATTACTATTGATTAGCAGCTTGAAAATTAAAAATATTTTATTATATATGTATATGTCATGTCAGCAGATCTGAGAACATCATTTTCCTACCATGGGACTGAACTTGCAAATTCCTTTTCTCATAAGGTGTTCTTGCACTTGCTTATATGAAATAAAGGTGTTAAAGAGAGAAGCAGAATAGTGAAAAGAGAAGGAGAATAGAGAAAAACTTGAAACTACAGACAGGTTTTATAGGTATTTTAACTGCTATAATAAAATGTAATCCTAGGAATCTTTTGCTCTTTTTTTTAATATTGTTTCCGTATAAATGGTGTCTGTTTACTATGGCTTGAGCATGCCATATTTCCCACTGGTAATTTATTTGTAACATTTCATGTAATTCTTGCTAGTTAATCTGTACGGTACATTTTTTATCAAGGAATATTGAGCAGTGAGTAAAAGAGGAGGATGTGTAGTCCATTAAGTTCAGCAGATATTATGATGTGACCATTATCTAATGAACTTGTGCATCTAGTACAAATATATTATTGTACACTTATTTTGTTTCATCATTATAACTAATATTATGATGAACTGACATGCAAGTGAAAGCTCTGAAACTGATTTACTCCAGAAATTGTGGAATTATTTATCATAATTTCTTCTTTATTGCGTATATATTATGATTGTCAAATTATAATACTTTATGAACCTCAGCTGATGGCCTAATGTGTGCCCATTATCTTTGCAGTTAAATTATCTAGACTGAACATTAAAAATCTTATAGTGAGGGATATTTACAGTACAGTATCCTTGGGTGCCCTCTCCTTCAAAATTAGAAAGTTTATTTAGTAGTACAAACCCAACATATAAATTGAATCTTTTATAAAATAGTCATTGATAATAGCACTCATTGCCATTAAAAGCAATTAAGAATATGATTTACTATGATTTAATGGATACATTAGTAAATATGTACTGTTTGATGATTTGTTTTTAATGATCTGATTTGGCTTCTCTATTCATTTATTGTTGTCTCTGTGTTTTGGCCCACATGTCCCAAATGGCCATCAGAATACTGTACGGTATGTGGTTGTAAAGAATATTAGAGTATTAAACAATAATTATATCTTACTCACAATATATATACAGTATATATATATATATATATATATATATAATCCATTTGAGCTGTAAATACCAATGAGATGGAAGGTTTGATACATCATGGACAAGCATTCAAGAAATTTTCAGTCTATCAGAGTGATCATTTAACCCTTACCAGGAGCCCCTGTAAAGTGTAATGGTGACAGGTGTCAATAAATCATATGTTCATTATACCATGTATCAGTGATAGGTAGGCTTTGTCATATTTTGTTGCATTCGTTACACTTAATCATGTACTGTATATATAATTATATATTATAGATTATTTTTACAAGAATCTTAACTCACATTGAAATACCTTCTTTTATTCTCCTTTAAATTTTTTACATTTATATTCTCATAAATTTATTTTATGATCATTGAAGCCATCAGTTAGTGACTCGCGGTATTTTAGCACACTGATAAGTGAAAGTTCCACTATGTCACAGATTTGTACTAGATTAAGCCCAGGGTTTAGGAGGTGACTTGCATGTAATGTTCACAAATGTTACAGGTTCTAACCTGAGAAACCCTAAATACTGGTGGATGAGATTAATTCATGAATTAGGGAAAAAGCAATGAGTTGTAGGTGACACAAGCCTTGCCTGCTGTATTTGTCAGCTGCAACCCCACACTAATTCCAACTGACTATTCTATGGGAAAAGAGAGTATCTGAGTCACCTTTACTCTGGACTTAACCACGAAATGTGATAGCTGAATCCATCTTTCATTTATAGCCTGTTCATTTAGGTAACCTGCACATCTAAGGCCAGGAAACAAAACCGTTTTAAAATCAGTCTAATTGAAACAAAACTAAAACCATTACCTGAAAGGGAATTTGTAATTTCTGTACAGTACATCAAAGGAATCTCAATACTGGTGCCAACATACAAAAGGGACAGATAGATCCTTGAAGACCGTCAAAGAGACCTCAATAGCAAAAGCCTCTCGTAATGGCCAGGCCAAAACACAACAGTATGCTGATAATATATATCTTTGTAGCTAGACACCCGATACCCTGAACCCAGAAAATATTTGCCCAAAGTACCGAAATAATGTACCTGTAACACGAAAGAAAGACAGAAAACTCTCTCAGCCACCACTGTAGAGGGACCACTAGCCCCTTTAGAACTGCGTACAGTATTACACCCAGTTGGAATACTGAAGATAACCACTTAAACACTCAGATGCAGTGAATAGATTAGTGCCCGACTGGGTATTCACCAATACCCCTGTATTTAGGCCTAATGAGGGTGTGACGGCATCTACCTGTGCCTGGAGAATGCAACTCCCTCTGAACGTCCAATGGTAGGACCTACAAGGCCTCGGGGGGGGATATAATAAAATAATAATGATAATAATGAAATAAATAAAGTAAATAACAATTATAATAAAAAAATCAAGAGTGAGAAATTATATATGCATGTTGTATTGCCAAAGTAAGAGAAACAATTGAGACCCTGAAATTGTGTGTAAATGAGTCAGAAAGTCGGATCAGCAACCTGGGAAATTGGTCCCAATTTTTGTGATGCCATGGCAGCAGGGTCTACCATTAGACAACACATTATGCTTCCAGTATCTTCCCAAGAGGTTGTACCTCACTGTTATGATAGCTGCCTACTGTCTACTACCGCGGCCGCCTACTCGTTGATAAATTATTTTTTTTGGCTCTCCCACAGGTTGTAGAAGTTTTATTTCTTTTAGTACATATTATTTACTTTACTAAACCTGCGGGCACTTCGGATCACCTGAAGTCCACAGCTTATTTCACCTGTTATGCTAATAATGGTAATGCTGGAGCAGACAACTAACACAAGAAGTTGTTCGATTAGGTTACTTTTTTCCACGTGATCTTTGGGTCATAGGAAGTAATGAAAACGATACGAAATTGCACAGAACCTGGATACAGCCCGTTAATAATCCTGTAAGCGTGATGTTGGACTTCGTAACCATTGTGGTCTCTTGTATTCACTAGCGTAGCTAGGGGGGGGGGGGGCGGTCCGCCCCGGGCGGCACTTTTGGGTCTGCTCATCACCCATATCTGCAGCTACTGGAGACGTTAATCCATCCCTTTGTATCGGCGGCAAGTTAATCCTTGTCGTGTCTGACCTAACACCTGACCCACATCATCACGGCCACGTCATGAGCTACACCCTTGCTATGCGCCCCCCGCCACACACACAACCTGTAACCTGTTGAGGATTAAGGAAACAACTTCAAACAAGTACGCCAGTGAGCTCATGTGGTGTGGGTCAGGTGTTAGGTCAGACACGACGAGGATTAACTTGCCGCCGATACAAAGGGAAGGATTAACGTCTCCAGTAGCTGCAAAACCATGCAGTCTCGGGTCATATCAGTTCATGTACAGCCGACCAATCCACCAGTTACAAGCAATTCACTTCAGTTCTGCACAAGTCTCCATCGTGACAAGACGAGGGGAGGCTAGACGACTTTTAAGTTCTCTTGTGTTTTCGATCCAGTTATTTACTTCGTTGGAAGACATAATACTATAAGGTAAGAAATATTAAAGTATTGGTTAAAAAATATTGATGTGACTTTTGCTGCGGTACTGAGATTAAATATTAAGATTTTGTTTCACTGCATTGCGATTTTATACTAAGACACTATCCTCACTGGGGTACAGACAAAAGCCACCCAGACGAAAGCCACGGGAGGGGGGGGGGGCAAACTCAAGGGCCGCCCCGGGCGGCACACACTCTAGCTACGCCACTGCTTGTATTCATGTCAGGAATAAATCTCATCATTTTGTTCTGAATGCTGTAATTAATACCTTGGATTTTAGCATCTTTGTTAAGGCAGAGTCCGTCCATGACCAGCCTAGCAAAGGTTCCTACGGGCATCAGCTGAAAGGCATTTAGCATTTCTATTGAAAATTTTTATCCCGCCATTTATTTTATTTTTTATGCTCCGATTAATTCACCAGAATGAATCCGTCGCCCTTGTGTCCAGAGTTAAACAGATTTGGGATGCCGTAAAAATTGTGAAAACAATCTAAGGTATTGTGGATGCATCATATAGACAAGTTATTTCAATGTTTATGATATTATTACTATTTACTACATTTATGGTATAGATATATCATAAGTGATATTATATTTTCATATTGAGATATTAAACATATTGATTTAGCTTTGATTACATGGCTATATCCCTAGACTTATTAGAGGTTTATGTCCTTATTATCTGTTCCCTCGCCATCACCAGTGTCAACAACTGTGTTCGTCTACCCAAGAATGTTACGTTGACTCACACATTATTGTTTTGTTGCAGTTTAGCAGATTCCAGCAATGAAAGGTAAATATTAAGTAATTTTAATGTCTTTATTGTATGATTTCCCCCATCAGGTACAGAAGCTGTACAATACAGCTTCATGTTAGTGTCAGGTGAAGTGGGTTGGCACCTCCCCTTATGAGTGCTCTCCTTCCTGTTATTATTTACATGTGTGGAATTTCTCAGACCATTGTATATGTGGTCTGAGGGTTAATATTCATTTTAGGATCAACAAGGAACTTCACAACTCTGTTTATATTGGGAGAATGAAAAAAATAAGTAAATTTTCACTAGTTGCTACTATACGAAATCGGTATTATTTAGCTTTAGTGCCCCCGAAAGTTATAAACTACCTAAACATTTACATCTCGCTATTCTGAGCATTTCGAACCCCATATATACGTTACGGAAATGGATAACAACGACACAATTGAATTTAATTGATGTTAAGTAGTTTTCACTCTTCATCTGTGAGATGTTATCTGCGCATCACGCATGCGCAATGTTGACTGATGTCATCCAGTCGTGACCAATGAGTTATCGATATCATCATGCGAATTTTTTTCGACCGATTACAATTTTGTTTTTCTCAAAGGAAGCAGCTTCGGTATGATTTTAATTTCATTGACCAGTTTCACAATGGCCGTGGTGGAGGTTGGTTGTCGTTTGTGCTCCTACGATAATTTTAAGTTTATTGCCGAGCTTTACGAGAAAGACGACTGCATGGTGTCACTTCCACCAATTAACCAATTAGTACAGAGGCACATTCATGGATGTATAGTAACAGGCTGCTCTGTCCTCGGTTTCAGTTCATATTGTGTACAGCTCATCCATGCTCGTGTTACAAGCAAATTTACGAATATAATATCTCATTGAAATTTAAGTTTTAGGTAATGAAGTAAATGTTGGTGTAAAGCACATTTACTCCAATGTTCTTGTATTGAGCATTAATACTTTATTTAATGTCGGTAAAATACAACCTGCTTACCTGTTTTTGAAAATTCCTATATGCTTTTGACATTTCACCTTTGCATATGTCCTCAGGTGGATGCATGTTGCTCAACAGTAGGATGCACCAGAAATTGACCATAGGTGCTGCACTTGTTTCTTTATTGTGCTGTTGCTCCGGCTCCCACATATGTGATGGTGTTGAAGATGAGACGCCAGTACACCACCTCTCAACCAAGACTTCATATTTTAATGCAGAAAAAGATGAAAGCTACTGGGAAAATTTTAAAAAGGAAGGTATGTAAGTACAGGTGTTTCCACTAGAAGCTTGGGTGTTTAGGACCCAGGACAGGCTTAACCTGGTACAATAGTGGCAGTAGTTTAAAGATTAGTCTTCTCCCCAAAAACAACTCTAGCACTTAGGAAGGGGGTAAAAAAGAAACTGCAATTCTCACTCAGAGTATTGTCCTCATATCTGAGGGTTGGCGACCACAGTCCTCCACTCTAAACGTTTCTGGGCTGTTCTTATCAATCCTGCGAAGTTTTGTATCTCTCTGGGGACCCAGTTTATAATTTCATTCATCGATCCTAGTCTCAGTCTTCCCAATGCATTCCTCCCCTCAACTTTGCCCATTAATATTTCGGTTATTATCCCTTCTTCCCTAATTATATGACCAAAGTATCTAAATTTTCTTTTTATAGGCGCTAACAAATCAGATGTTTATGCATGATTCATTTTCATCTTAATGAACCAACAGCAGGGCCGGATTCAGGAGTGGGCAAAGTGGGCAGCTGCCCAGGGGCCTCCACAAAGAGGCTGCCCATGGGCCTCCACAGGTCTAAATCCGGCACTGACCAACATCACAACCAACTCCACTTCTCCTGCCCACAAATAGTGAAAAGACTTATGATCTTTGCTTTTGCATCAGAAAGATAAGTGCTGGTCACTTGAGCCCATTTCTCACTAGCCCGTTTTGATGGCAACTATTATTACCATAAGCCGGAATTTAAATTCCCTGTACTTTTCATTACCCAGAAAATAAAATTTTAGCATTCCGAGAAATTATGAGAAAATCTCTGTTCCAGGTATTCAAATAAATTTCCAAGCAATTGCGTCATGTGCTGAGTGGGTGGATGGATAGGCTCAGAATGCTCGTGAGCGTGAGCTACGATTCAGTACTACTTTCATGTGACAAATCATGGAAAAATAATTATTTAAAAATTCAAAAAATATCTTTCCAATTATGAGGGTCATTTATTATTGTTGTGGAGTGGTCCTGCGTGGACCACGTGGACCTTCCAGGCCACCCCGCATGCCAACAACTTAGCCGTGCCACGCTCAGTCATAATCATCATAGGATAAGGTAAGAAATTGATTTCCAGTACAGTGAACCTTTGAAGATTCGGACCCTCGTGTTTCCTAGCTGGAATTGATAAAATGCTACTACGACCACATAGTTGGCACGAGCAATCCCTGATGGAGGTTCATGGTGCTTAAGAATAAGGTGAATGAACAGGCTTTGTGTGAAATAAAACAAAGCCAAAGATTGCTCTTGTTGTCCTTGTGGCACGGTGGTAATGATTTCTGTTTGCACACAGAGGTCCAGGATTCGATTTCCGACATGACTAACTACATAAGAGGTGCCAAGTCTACATGTGATCATTACATATAAGGAAAGTTATTTGGGAAATTTCAGTAGAGTGGTCTGATCTTCTCAATATGAAGTGTGAAGTGGTTGGCTTCTGTTCCTTCCAAGATTACAGTAGTTCTGGCCAACAGGTTTCATCCTGGAACATGAGGTTTCACCCCTTAGGCATGGCTGGCATTGCTGTTCTTGAGTTACCTAATCACTGGTCAGTTATGAATTTGGATTTCCTAATTAATCCTTCACTTATAGCTTAATAGTTAATGTTATGGAAATTGTACCGGTAATGTACAAGTAGTATTAATTCTCTCTAAATATTCATAAATTTGATAACTGTGTATTCACTTTCTTCTTTGTAGTTTTTGTTTGGTTTTAACTCAAAACTATTTTCTTGTTAGTTTGGGGATGCGCTGCACAGCAGATGTGGCTCCTCAATCGCCACGGTACACGCTACCCAACGCAGAATGATATAGGCTCACTAATGAATACATTGCCAAGCATGAGCCAGCAAATAGAAGCAAATCATCACCAGGGCAGAGGTACAGTACTGTATATAAAAATGTTTTGGTATTTGGTATTTTCCACAATATTTCTCATACAGTAGTAAAATAATACAGTACAGTGACCCCTCCGTTAACGAACTCAATCCGTTCCAGAAGTCGTTCGTTAACCGAAAAGTTCGTTAACCGAAAAGTTCGTTAACCGAAACCATTGTTTCAATGGGTTTTTGGGTAATTGGTTCCAGCTCACTGAAAATTTCCTAAATTCAACAAAAATGGTAGAAAAGTTCACTTACTTTGAGGTGTGTATGTAGAAGGCTCCTGGATGATGATGATGATGATGATGGGATTTAGAATGGGGGTGGAGGAGAAGAAGAAGGAAGGCATTGGGGTGGAAGAGAAGTCACCCCATGGCGCCATTTCACCCATAAAATTTTAGCTCTCTTGGAGTAATTCAAGATTATTTTCTTTAAATCAACACTACACTGCATTATATATTGTCAATATGTAAAATATATTTCAAAATGACCAATAATTTGCTTGGAAACACAGAAAAAAAGCGTTTAGTTGAAGAGAGTCTCAAGCAAGATGTTACCTCCAGTGAAAACAGAGAGAGACTAACTCCTGTTTGCTGTGTTAAGAGGCTGGATGCCGCGCATTAAACTAGTCACTTTACCTTCAATAATGTTCAATAATTGTTAAAATGACTAAATAATTGAATATTAAACTTTTAAAATTATTGAATAGTATAAACAACTTGATATTTACTAAAATAGTAAGGAATTTAAGCCCTAGAACCGATTAATGTATTGGCGGACTGATACTAAAGCTGGTTGCCCGGTCAGTGCAAGCAAAAACATGTTGAGGTCGGTTCGTAAGAACTTCGTTAATCGAATTTTTTTTCGTTAACCGAATTGAAGATCCTTATGGAAGGCAGTTCGTAAATCAAAATTACGTTAACCGAGGTGTTCGTTAAACGAGGGGTCACTGTATTATACAGTATACTGTAATTTTAAAATGATGTGTATTCATGAAATGAAATTGTTTATGATTGTTTTATTTATTATAGATTTACAGAAGTTTTATATATATACAATTAGTCCCCGACTTAAGACCGACTCGACTTACGTCCACCTGCACTTACGACCGCCTCAGTCGTACCAAAATGTGGTCAAATCATGTATTTTTGAGTCCCAGAGTCAGTACACAAAAAAAATTTTGTACTGTATGTGTTATTTAAGCATTTCCGACTTACGACCTGGATGTCGGTCCCTAACCACGTCGTAAGTCGAGGAGTACATATATATATATATATATATATATATATATATATATATATATATATATTGATAAAATCACACGGGGAAAATGGAAACAACGGAGTACCTTAGCTTTCGTCTTTATTCAAGACATCTTCAGAGGCAACTGGATTACATGGACAGAGAGAGGCTTAAATATACAGGGTGACCTTAAAAACATGAGGTCAGGTCATAATGATGACATCCACTAATCCCCACACCAACACACACGTAGAGGAGCTTAAGAGAAGGGTGGTGACGTGACTAGCCAGGTCAGGTCAGAAAAAAGGGACCCACACTAATAACTATCATACATCTAGATCAAAGGTTTTCAAAGCATTTTTAACCTTGGGCCACTGACAAATAAATTTATGTAACATATTATCAGTTTTGAACTGACCATCACTAAGGTTTATTGATTTTAATTCCTTAATCAAACTAGCTTCAACCAGAAGTCTCTGGACATGTCTGACTCTTGATACTGGATGTTCATATACAGTACAGTATGTCACTTTTATCATATTGTTTGCTGTGAGCTGAGACTTCATTCCTTAATTCTTTCTTTGAATCCAGAAATTAGTTTGAACAAATAGTCCTTAATGTAGATTTCTTGCATATTCTACACACAACTTTTGTTCACCAAGGTGGCTCTTAGATTATCTTGCTTCGCTGTTCACTGAGTAGTCCTATCCATAGTCGTTAGTGTTTAGATTCATTCTCTGCTTTTGTTTTTCTGTACTTTATTCACATTAAGAGTAGTGTGTGTTTATTAATTTTTTTATATTGGTTTCACTCAACAGGTTGTTTAAGACAAGAAGATTTAGAGCAGATAAGCAATTGGTTTCCTCCATATAGTTCCCGGGATAAGGAGCAGTTGCAGGAAGTGGGTTATGATGAGCTCTTCTCCATTGGGGAGTACTGGCGTAACATGTTCCCTCACCTCTTCAATGTGACCTATGATCCTGCCAAGTTCAAGGTAGACAAATTGTGAGCATATCTTAAGTGGTTTCCTCAATTTTTCATTATCCTTTTCTTAATAATTATTCTTTGTTCTGTTTTAATTTCTTGCTATCGGTAAATAAACTGGATATTCTCAGATATGTAGCATTCTTACAAATACAGTTACAGTGCAGTAATTCCTTTGTTATATAGATTTGCTGCACTTTTCCTAATTTTGATATTTATATAACTGTGCTTGCATACTGTCCCACCCCCTTTTACTTAACTACAGCTCTTATACCCAAATAGGTGGAGGTGGACGGTAACAAAGTACAGTCAGTTGCTGAAAAACACTGCCTTTTAGAAAAATCGTGCTGTAGCCATTGATTCAGTGGGAATTGAGGTGTTAGTTGGTAGTAGGTTCAAGAACACCAACATCACTGACATGGGACCACTTTCATATTATTGCTAGTTTTTATATGTTCTGTTATACTAACTGTTTTAGTTTAATAGAATAAAAACATATCAAGGGGGAAAAATTCTTGTGGTATGTTTGTAAAGTTTCTATGCGATAGAAAACGGAACTGTGAAGGAAGGTGCAGAATGAACATGGTGAGCTAATATACTTTTACTTTTGTCCTCTTCACCAATGATCGGCTCGTTAGCCGCTTGGGCGATCGGTCACGTCTCTGTTATGCACTGTTGGCAAGTACTGGGCATGCACCGGCTCCTGAATGTGCTTGAACCTGCTTCAGTGTTGGTCAAGTCTGGTCTTGAAAGAGCTCACACTCGGTGTCGTCACAACACTTTCTGGCAGATTGTTCCAAGAGTTCACAATGCTCACTCCGAAAAAGTTTGCCCTCACAGTTTTCTGGGCCTGCGGCTTCTTCAGCCTTGAGCTGTGACCCCTTGTGGGGCGAGCGTCCGCCAGCTCCAAGTAAGGACACCCGACTGAGTAGTAACCCTTGAGATGCTTATACACCTCAATTAGGTCGCCCCTTGCCCGTCTGTAGTATATGAACATCCAATCTCTCAGGGTAGCTAAGTTGCTGAGGTGCAGGCACCAGTCTGGTGGCCCTCCTTTGAACATTTTCAATCAACTAACAGTCCGTAGTATATCTCGGGGCCAGGCGGGGTGACTACTCCAGGTGGGGAAGCACTTCACTCCTGAAGATCGTTACGAGGGACTGACCGTCTAGATATTTGAACGATCTTAAAAGACCTAATAATTTATTTGCCTGATTTACCTTCTTCTCGCAATGGCCTGAGAACTTCAGCTCATTGTCAACATACAAACCTAGGTCCTTCTCACATTCAGTCTCAAATAGTGCAGTTTCTTCATCCCGTTGGGGCATATGATACGCTTCCTTACCGTTGGTACGCCCCAGGTGCATCCTCTTACACTTCGTGACGTTGAATCTCAGCAGCCATTTCTTCGACCATTCTTGGAGCTCACAAAGATCATTCTGCAGCTCTTCACAGTCCGCTTGGTTCTTGATTTTCTGAAAGAACTTGGCGTCATCCGCAAACATTTGTATTTAGGAGTGTACAGCGTCAAGCATGTCATTTATGAAACAAACAACAGCGGGCCCCATACACTGCCCTGTGGCATCCCCCTCGTGACAGGTACAGATGATGATTTCGTGCAATTAACCACCACACACTGCTTGCGGTCATGCAGAAAGTCTTCTATCCACGCTAGGACATTTCCCCAAATTCTGTACCCTTCCTGTTTGATTTTCAGCCTTTCATGGGGTACACTGTCAAAAGCCTTGGCAAAATCTAGGTATATAGTGTCAATATTACCACCCTGTTCCAGAATATGGGTCCAAATATCCAATACCTTGAGCAATTGTGTTAAGCAGGAGCGCCCCAGCATAAAACCGTGTTGGCAATCCTTTACAAGGTTGTTTCGTTGTAGATGTTCCATCGCGGCATCTCTGATAATGCTCTCAAGTACTTTGCATACTATGCTGGTCAGGCTTCAGTACTTACACCAGCACTGATCATGTCACCCAGGTAACAGAACTCATGACCAGGGATATATCTCCAATGTTGAGTTTCTCCAGCCTTGCTGTGGGCACATGGTTACCTGTACGTAGAGAACACTTAAAGTCAGCAACATCATGCAGTCTGCCATCTGCCCCACTGCACTTTGTGTGTTCCCACCTTCCACACTCCTTGCACATTATTGAGTTGCTACCAGCATCTTTCTTATAGACAACACACGGTCCTTTTCCACTTTCCACTTTGGATCCCCCACCCACACCACTAATCATTACTTTTGTTAACCACATTAACTCTCAGGCCCTTTAACTATATTCCATCCTTCCTTTTCTTAAATTTCTCCATTTCCTCATCAGTCCTATTGGCTGTTAGCACAAGTCATCAGCATAAGCAACTTTCAGGGCAGGCCAGTCCTAAAGTCCCATGATTTTGTCTTCATGGACACAGTATCTTTCCACTCTGGGATTGTGTACAAACAAGGGAAACAGACAAGAATTATTATTATATGTGGTGGGAAGATATGTTTTGCTTTGATTGACCAGCAACGTACATAGTGTGCATTCAGTGTTGAGTTATGCTTGGCTAGAAATATGTGCCACACTCACTGAGCTCTGATTACTTGAGGAAATGTCTCGCACTTGCTGCTGAAATGTCCAAATTAAAGTAACGAGGTACGAGACCTCCATAAAATAAGTAGCCGGTTAAAAGTACCGATAATGGGGTAAAATGTTACCCAGTAAAAGTAACAAGAAGAAAAATTACAGTGCAGTACTTTTAAGTTAATTATTTATTCAATGGCACATCATATTAAAAAAAATATGGATATGGTGTTAGGAAAATACCGTAGGGTCAAAGTAGGATTAAGGGAATTAGAAGGAGATACAGCATCCTGAAGGTTTAGGATAAAAGAGTTAAAATTGATGTTACACATATGAGGCCCCCCGCATCGTAAGGTTTGCTCAGACCACCCTGGGTGAAACCCGTTTTTTGTTGGAAAACACTATTTCCGGCCTAGCTCTATGTGATGGTAGTTGATAAGATCTCCTTACTACACTGTAAATAAGGTTGAAAGCCCTTTGAAAATAGGGTAGAACATCAATTTGTGGCAGACAGGAAAGTATGGGCTTGGCTATCGCGTCGTCAGGTGCTCTTGTCCCGTCAGTGAGTGAGTGAGAGGAGCGAGCTGCCAATCACAGCGGCCAGCCAGCAGCCTCCTTCCCCATCTCAGCCAATGACAATGAGCGTCTGCTATCTACGTCACGGCCCCTCCAGCCAATGAGCGCGGAATCCCTCTCTCCTTCTCCCTCAGTTCTCTTTTGTTGTGGCGGGATCTACACTCTGATCAGGCCCGTCCTTTGGGGTGAACAGGGGCGACCGCCCGGGGCCCCGCAGGACCCAGCACTAGACGCAGTGACCTCGGACACATTACCTGTTGACTGGTTAATCTGACCTGACGGCCTATGCCACCATCGCAACCGTGACTTTACCATCCATAGCGACAGTCCCATGGGGGTTGGTGGAGGTGGGTTCCTCTGACCGCATAATCTGGGGCCCCGCAGTGGCTGAGTTGCCCCGGGCCCCGCACCCTCCTAGGGACGGCCCTGACTTTGATATTGATTAAAGTCAGAAAAGCCATAAGCGGGTGGGGGTTTTGTTGCTTCAAGTCATCATTGCAACAACCCAGTACATTACTTCATGTCGTGCAAGTACAGTCCTTTAGCTTCAAAATGCATGAAAAATGAATGCTGTATCTCAAAAAAACAACAAAGTTATGCATGTTTGAAGTTGGAAAAACTTTAAACACGGTTTTCTCGGCTTTCAAATTTTGGCGCGAGTTACCCATACGATGCAGGGCGCCTCATATCTGGTCTGATTATACGTGAAGATTGGATTTGAAAGTGTATTTGGGTGAAGTTAGTGGAATGTGGTGTAAAGGAAAACGGAATATAAAATGGGAGGGCAGAAGAAAAAAATAGCTTGTGTTACAGATTTATTAATGAATGTGCATTGTACTACAGAGATAATGATTAACAGGGCACCTGTTATATAATTTACCCAATTTTACAGTAGGTGTAGACATATGATAACTAATAGGTAATACAATGTTTTCTATTACTCCATTACTTTCTTCAGGTAGATTATACCGTGAAAAATCGTACTGGCCAGAGTGCTTACCATTTCTTCAGGGGCATGTTTGGAGAAGATGCAGTTGGAAACATTGAATTTCCTCAGCCATACAGCCCAAACTTCATCTTGAGGGTTTGTGTCAATTGTGATTTTATGTTTCAAATGTAAAGATAAGTGGTTTGATCTTGATTTTTTGTATTATAATCTTCCATATGCATATAAATAATCTTTAGAGCAATTTGTGAAGTTTGTTGTCTGATTCTCAAGTTTATAATTGAAGGATTTGAGTCAAATTCAGGGTTCATCTTGGTGTACATGTTGATTTGCTGACCTCTGAAGATTCAAATTTGGGTCAAAGTTTGCTTCATAAACTCTGGTTGGACAAGGTAAGCTCTATTGTAAACCACTGTGTAAAATAATTACAGATTTGAGTAGTGTTTTGTAGAAAATTTAGTGGTAATATAATTTATGGTACAAAATTGAATTTGATTCTAAATAACAAAATCCAACTGTGAAAATCTTGATACGGTATCAGGTGGCATAGTACTGGAGACTGTAGGTCTTTATCTGTGTTTCATGTATGTAGAATAATTTTCCTCTTTACTTTTTTCTTTCTTTGACAAATCCAGTTTTACAAAGCTTGTCCTCGCTGGCTTCGTGAAGTGTATAAGAACAATGAAACAACATATAAGGAACGGAGATTATTTGTTCAAACTGAAGAATTCCAGAGTATGGCTCATGCTGTGAGTGCTAGACTGGGGTTCATGCATCCTCTTAAGCCAAGTATGTACTATGGACTATAATGATATTTATGTATTGATTTTTGTATTTTAATGTTTTTAATGTTGTAAAATCTGAAAATGCCAATAAAAATGTTAATGCTAAGAAAAGTCTCTCTGAAGTATTTAGTTTCTTGTCTGATTCATAGCTTGTTAATCAGTTGTTCATTTAATATTTTAGCTTCACTTGTCATTTCTCTTCCACAGGAGAAATTGTAGCGATTTATGATGAATGCCGTTATGAAACAGCATGGTGGCCAGCTCGAAGAAGTGCATGGTGTTCAGCTTTCTCTCCCTCTGATTTTGAGGTTTGTTGTACTTCATATTCACTGTGTCATGCAGGACAGGTGGAAGCTCCCATATCCTACATTTTAACATACAGTAACTCCCCCCAAAACGACAGTTTTGGTAATGTGAAAAAATTCTACTAACTGGCAAACCTCCCATTGAGTGCCTCTCACACCACCCACCACACTCTGGTCACCACCACACTCCGGTCACCACCACACTCCTGTCACCATCACACTCCTGTCACCATCACTACCTCACACCACTGTACGATTGTGGTCAGTACAAATTTGTACTGACCACGGTCATACACCACCACCACCACCCTAATGCCATTACATAAATACATACATACGTATACTGTATACAGTACTGTACCCGGGTTATGAATATCCGAATTATGAACATTCTCCAATGCGAACAAGGTTAAACTTTAAATTTACAGTATTTTTTGTACCTGACGACTTTTTTTTTTACTTTAATTTACTGTATTTGTCATTCTATATATATATATATATATATATATATATATATATATATATATATATATATATATATATATATATATATATATATATATATATATATATATATATATATATATATATATATATATATATATATATATATATATATATATATATATATATATATATATATATATATATATATATATATATATATATATATATACACACTTTATAATGTATCATATAACATGATTTGTGACTCACTTCATCAGGTGATGGAGTACCACCAGGACTTGAAGTATTATTATGAAGACAGCTATGGTCACCCCCTCAACTCAAAGACAGCATGCAGGACCCTTGCTGATCTCTATACTAATATGAGGTGAGTTTACTATTCTTTCTGTTTATTTATTTGGTTATCAATGTATCAGTAAGATCTATACCTAGTTAAATGGAACAGAACAGAGCACCAAGACTCATTAGAGAAGGAAAAGTATAGTCTATACAAAGAAGAAATAAATTCAAGTAGACTTTTTTTAGCTTCAGTAAGTTGACTTTGTTCTCCTAGTTGTTGTCTCAGTGTGATGTCCATCTAGATTGACTCTTCCACCCTCATTCATGAATTTTGACGATTCTTTGTGGTCTCTTTTTCATGTTTCAGAATGACAGTCAACAATGGGGTGGCCAAACCTCAGGGGATATTTTACTTTGCACATGACAAAACCATCTTTAAGGTTAGTATTGATTCCATATTATGCACTGCAGAGTGTTTTTACAAACTTACGTGAGCACAATAATCAAAAGAACATTAAAGTTTTACATGGAAGTTCAGCTAACTGAAGGGCTGAGAAAGACTGATTACCTAGTCTTTCCATGCCATTTCTGATGTCAGTATCTTCATGTCAATTACGTTGTACAGGTTGAATCTCTCAAATCCAGCACCCTCGGGACCTTACCAGAGCCATTCCAAAGAATTTTCTAATCCTCTTGTGGTCAATATACGCATACTGTATTATGGTGCCAAAACACCTAAATAAGTTATCTTTGTTGCACAATTTTTAGGTGTTGGCACTAGGATATACATATAGGAAGCATAAAAAAATGACATAAGACAAGAAATATAGGGTATAGTTTATTTTAAGTACATACAGGTACTGTATTATAAATACAGTACAGGCAAACTAAATTTGTGCCAGACTACAGTTGATGCCAGACCATGGAATTCTGGACTAGCGAGGTCCAACTTGTATCACTAATGACCCAGGACAACAGAATTGTTATTTTGGTCAGCTCAGATTTTCATTAGCCCATATTTTCTTGTTTTAGTTCTTTCAGGTAAAGTTTTAAGATACCAGGAAACTATTGGGATTGCTTTTCTTAGTACTGTTTATTATTAAATTGTTGACTGTCCAGATGCTTCTCTTCTAGTCCTGATGTGGATATTGTATTCCAATTTGGGAGAAATTATAGTAGATCATTAACCCACATAGCATACATACACACACACACAATTGGTTCCATGCACTTACTACACATAGCAACAAAAATTAAGCACTAAATGTACAGTATTGTGTAAGTATCATCAAACATTATTGATAGACAATATAGTACAGTAATAAAATAATATTAATATTGGAACATGTACAGTATTGTTATATAAAGGCTTGAACTGCATGTAAAGTCCTTAAGCTGTAAGCCATCACAATGACCTAAAGCACTTAAGATTAAAATGCTAAATAGGAAGTTAAAAATTCAAAGAATTAAAAGGAATATCATGTTTACCATAATTTAGGAATTTAAGGAAAGTGAGAAACTTGAGGTAAAATAAATAAAAAGAAAATAGCTCATTTTTCAGGCTGTACATCTTAACATACCTGAAGATCCACCAAGTACAGACACTACCCGGGTTACAGAACACTCGATTTACAGAAATTTGATGATACAGAATGCCTTCCATAAGTCCCATTATAAATTTTTGGGGGGATGCACAGCAGTTTATTTTATTACAGAAGGTAACTAGTACATTACAGCATTACAACACTATTTATGGAGGATTATGCATATGGCAGCAGAGCACATACCCCCCTGTGAGATTCAGTACAGGGTATACAGTACATATTTAGCTTGTGGATGGGTCATTTTCGGTTTACAGAAAATTTGGCTTACAGATAGGGTCAAGGAACGGAACTTTTTCGTAAACCGGGGAGTGTCTGTACTGCATTCACTGGCACATCAAAATAAGTGATCCACCGGTTTCAGTGGAGGGTTCATATACAGTTCATCTCTTAATATTGAATATTTATGAACACTATATATTTACAGAACAGGTAGGTGTTTAGATAAAAAGTCTGTATATAATTTGCAGTTACCCAAACTTTTCACATATGGAACAAATATATCTTTTTGTACAAGTTTGATTAAGTACAGGTAATGTTAAAATATATATTGCAGGGGGCAAAAGCTTTGTTAGACTGGAATTTTTGCTGTAGGTATATCTGAAAATCTGACTCATGATATTTTTTTCATTGATGAACATTGGTGCTCAGACTGTGTAGTACATGGAGAAATTTCAGCAGGAGTTTTTTGTTTTTTGGGGGGGGGGGTATTTTTTTATAGCATGGCAGTCTTATAAACCATTGAGCCATTGATTATATTCGTTTTTATCCACAGACTAAAAAAGTGGGGGCATGCAGGAGGGAAGAAGAGGGAGAGAGTGAGAATGAGGGAAATGGAAAGATTGGGATGGAGGGAGAAGCAGGAAGGAATGGAGGGACAGGCAGGGACAGGGGGAAGGGTACGGGGGGAGGAAGTTGGGTTAGAGTGAGAGAAAGAAGAGATGGAGAGGGGGGAAGTGAAGGAAAGAATATGGAAGGGAGGCAGATGGTGAGAGGGAAGGAGGGAGCAGGATAATCTTGGAGTTCACTTTTCAAATTACCTCTAGGTTATAAAAGTTATATATCTAGTTCTAATTTATGATACAGATAACAGCTGAAATTCTGCATCAGGTACTTCAGTTTTAGGTATGTAGATAATAAAATATGAAGATATGAGGACATACATGCATTATATTCTTTTACAAACATACACACCGGATGATTTAAGTACAATATTGTATATAAATACCATCTAGAATCTAGATGGTATTTATATACCATCTAGATTCTAGATGATAGACAGAGTTTTATTAAATAATCAAGCTAATCTTAAAAAATGTGATTTCAGGTTCTGGCTGGTCTGGGATTATTCCGGCCTCCGCAACATTTAAAGCATAACAATTTTGCAGAAATGAGGAACAGATATTGGCGAACAAGTTTTGTGTCTCCCTTTAGTGCTAATGTTGCATTTGTTCTATATAGGTAAGTTGAATTCATGGGGTGGAGTGTTCCTCTGCTGATACTTCAGAAAAGCATTACTATACTATAGTGTGTCAAGATGAAGATTTTTCTCCATAGTTTGTCATTTCCCATTTCTTGCAGTTCATTTCTTTAACTTTAATTTTCTATTATCACAACTTGTCATAATCCACTAAAATAAAGTTACCCAAAGTTACTCAAAGTTTTATATATTATGTAAAAAATATTGTTTATTATTCATTAACAAAGAGTGTGGACATAATGGCATCAGCTAGAACAGAACTCTTTGACAGTTTTAGTGCATAATTCGTAAAATACACATGATGATCAAAGCAATTTAAATTTTTTTTTTTTTTTATTATGATTCATGAAGTGCATTAATAAATAAGTACAGAATGATAAATTGCTTACATGATTCTCTCTTACTTTCTCCAGGTGTGGTCTAGAGTTTAAAGTGGGAACCTTCTTCCAGGGTCAGCCCACACCCCTCAAAGAGATTTGTCAGGGAGTGACTTGCCGCTGGGAGGAAATAAGTCCATGGCTGAATGAGAATTACAAGACGTGTGACCTAAGCAAATTGTGTATGATGCATGATGAACTCTAATGAGGGATTGTTTAATGTTTATGTAACTAAGTTATAAAAATATAATTTGAAGTTTTACAAATTATAATGACTACTGCGTGTAATTTTTATTTATCGATTTTAGATTGTGACAGACTTGAAATGCCATTTGTTAACTTTTACCTGTGATTGACTAATGTGTGAATAATCCTGAAATAATGTAAGACATCTGAGATATAGAACAAGCACAATATACCCTCAATTTAAGCAAGGGATATGTTCTTGAGGAGCCTTGTGTATGTCACATTCATTCAGATCGTACTGTACTTAATTTCTCGTAGGAAATAAGGGTATGCAATTCTAAATCTTCACATCTCCCAAGATACCATTCTTTGCAAAGAAATAAACACTGAATTGTCTTAAATGAATGATGATAATTATTCCAGCTATTGAGTTGAATTTAAAAATTTTGCCACATACAGCAGCTAGTTTAATGTGCACTCCATATTGTACTGTGTATATATTACACTAATTACCTGTACGTTGCATTTATAGTATACATGATTGCATACTTTACTCACTCAGTCTTTTGCCCATCTATTGGTTGATGTGGCACACCCCTTGTAGCCAGTGTGTAGGAAAGTAGTCACCACTGCTATTGATGGTAGTTTGGGAGTGAAGAAAACACAACTAAGAGATGGAGAATAAAGCTCCATCTCTTAGTCATGTTTCCTTCACTACCATCTGTCCACTATGAATAATGTTCACCACTGCTACTTTATCACTTAAGGTTCAATGGGGCTGTCAAGAGCAATGGTGATGATAGTAGCCATTGTCTCCATTCTACACGACACACACGTAACCATGCACGCACATACATACACAGGCATTAATAGATGCCAAGGTCATTAGACAGTGGTTTTCATAAAATGTTCTTTGTTTTTTACAGTGACTAAAATTTGTTAATTGTAATAATGTTATGCTTTTAGAGTAAATATTATCATGCTTTAGAGTGAAACTGTGTGAAAATTCAGTTAAAAGACAACAGTTCCTGCTCTACCAAGCTGCATTCCTGCCAAACCACCCCACCACACCCAGTATGAAGCGTTAGTATGTACATGAGTGCCTACAGGCTGTAAGCCAATCACAGTGATCTGTGAACCTGACATCATAGGCACAGCTAAGCTGATTGGCTAAGACCAATGAACTTCCCTTAAGGTGCCATCACATTGGCATTCTTTCATCGGCTTTTTTGTCAACTTTCAGAAAATCGTCAAACTTTTTGTTGTGCACCGTCACACATGCGTTTAGAACCAATTCACCAGTTTCCCTCGTTCGACAACTGTCAACAAACAAGATGGATCCAATTGACGAAGAAAGCGCAGCATTTCTACACCTTTTTTGGTGTATGAAGAGTCCTGGTGATCCCAGAGACAGGGGCGCTGCCTTATCTGGTTCAACAAGAACTCCTCAGAGAGGCGTGTCCATACTTGGGATATTATTTTATCTGTTGGCTCCGTCATGTTGTTCTTATTCCCACGTGGTCAAAATGTAAACAAATTACATTTTCTTACCTTTTTAAAATCACAAAATTTAACATAATAATGAGTAACCTGGGGAAGAAGAGTAACAATTACTATCTAATAATTTTAGCTTTATATTTTAAGTAAAAATCTGTTTATTTTTTATCACTATTTGTAGTATCAATTACAGATCTTGAGTTGACTCTGGTAAGTTGTCGTACGAGTCGTCAGTGCAGACGGTCTGCACCGTTTGACAAAAAGCCAACAACAACGCTGACGATTCGTGAAAAAAGTTGACAATAGAAATGCTAGTGTGATGCCGCCTTTAGAGAGTCAGTCTTACTTTGCTTGAAATCTCAGTCTAGGTTTGTTTGTGATTCGGTGAACATGGTTTGCATTAGTGGCAGTTGGATTAACATTAATTAACCCTTAGACCCCAGGCGTTGTAAGACCCGCTGAAACCCCCCCCCCCCCAAGCAGGCATATTTTGGTAAAAAACATTTTTTAAAAATCAATTGTCACCTTATAAATGGGTTAATCAATATAAGAAATACCAGAAGACTGTAATTACATTCAACTTTCATTTTAGCTTTGTTAGAGAGTTGTCTGGGGTGTTGATGAGCAGTGTGGAGTGATGGAAGATGTCTTGTTTGAAGCTACTATGCATAGCCCACAGCAAGCAGGAAGTGAATTTGACACGCACTTGCAACATACAATTCTTACTTGAAGGCCCTTTTATATCATATTTCAAGCATATACAGTACACAATATATTTCTATTTTCCTCAAAAGAATTATAAAATACTGAGCAGTAGGAATATTTAGGCAGCACAAAACTTATCACTATTTTCAAATATATACACTATTTACATGTACTTAAACTGAATTTAGAACTTCTTTATTGTGTGGAAGTGTAATTTTGTAATATAAAATGCACAAGGCAACTCCACACTCTTTGCACCAAGCCACTATGGTTCATGATGGCTGGTGGAATGGGGAGGGGAGGGAGTGTCAGTCTCTAGGCCTATCACTGTCCTCACCGCCTCAACAAACTCAACATCATCTGGGTTCTGTTTCCTCCCTGTCATTGTCTTCGTCAACCAATACTATATCAATGCCACTCAAATCAAGCAATTGATGATGAACTCAATTACTGTCAAGCGGGTGTGGAGGAGTGAGGTGGGTGATAAGAGAGGTCTAAGGACGTGCATTCCTCACAATATCTGGCGGGTAACTGACCATCAGGCACAGTTTTAAGTCAAATACATACGTGAGTTGAGTTGCCAATTACACAAATCTCTCATACAAAGTATTTCCTCCCGCCTAGACATTCAAGATATGCAGTGAAAATTAAGAACCTGGGGTTTAAGGGTTAATGAGTGCTCTTTAGGTATTATCCATTTCACGAAATGTATTGTGAGATATGTGATCTATTAATTACTGTAGGCTTATATTGTCTATGTCATTCTTAAATTTTTTTTTTAAATAAATGAAGAAAAGTTTTAAGTCATAAATTCATCCCTCCCTTAATCCTGAGTTAAAAGTTGATAAAAATAGAGTACTGTAACTTGATGTAATAATTATAACCAAGTGAACTTTGAGTATAAGCCTGATGGTATAAAGACAGTACCGTACAGTATCATAAGTACCACCATGTTTATGTTGAGTCAGTGAGTAGTGACTGTTAACCCCCCCTCTTACACATCTATCCCTACGAGCTGTCTGATGTAATGAATTAGTGACGAGTACACACACACATGTACACACACTGGGCTTCCACCATGAACTTACTAAATTAATAAGTTAAAGGTGTTTTAAACTGATATTAGTGCTTGTTATATTTCTCTGCCATTGTTATATAAAAGAACATGTGTTTTAGTGAGAAGTATATGATAGCTAATAATTGTTTAGAAGATAAGAGAAGGCTGTGGTTAAATTTATCAAGGGAAGGATATTTTTTCTTTCTTTTTTTATCATTTTCCGATGTGTAAGAACATGAGAGTGAGAGAGTTCCTCTCTCTCCTTCAACCTCTCCCCCTCCTTCCAACCCTCCCTCTCTCCTTCCACCCCTCCCTCTCTCCTTCCACCCCTCCTCCTTTTCTTCCACCCCTCCTCCTTTCCTTCCACCCCTCCTCTCCAACACCCTTCAACCACTTCATATTCATACTCCTCCTCCAGGCCCTACAGTCCCACACCCTCCATACCACACCCTTCCTCCACGCCCTCCATACCCACACTCCTCCACGCCCTCCATACCCACACTCCTCCACGCCCTCCATACCCACACTCCTCCATGCCCTCCATACCCAAACCACTCTCCCATACCCTCCATACCCAAACCACTCTCCCATACCGAAACACCTCTTCCATGTCTTCCATACCCGTACCCATCATTCCACTCCCTCCATACCCACATGTATCCTATACATCCTCCATACCCACACCCCTCTTCCACGCCTTCCATATCCACACCCCCTCCTCCATACCCAAACCCTCTTCCACGCCCTCCATACCCATACCCCTCCTCCAGGCCCTCCATACGCCCTCCATACCCACACCCACGCCCTCCAATCCATCCCAATACGCCCTCCATACCCACACATGCCCTCCATACCCACAACCACCCACCTCCCGCCCTCCACCCTCCTCCGCCCTCCATGCCCCACGCCCTCCATGCCCACCCACACTCCTCCACGCCCTCCATCCACACCCTCCACACCCTCCACCCTCACCCCTCCTCCCACACTCCATACCCTTCCTCCTACCCCACCTCCATCCCCTCCACGCCCTCCACCTCCACGCCCTCCATCCCTCCCCTCCTCATGCCCTCCATCCTCCTCCGCCCTCCCCTCCTCCACGCCCTCCACCCACTCCTCCACGCCCTCCAGCCCTCCATACCCACACTCCTCCATCCAACCTCCTCCTCCACGCCCTCCACCCCCCTCCATCCCACACCCGCTCCATACCCACACTCCTCCACGCCATCCATACCCACACCCACGCCTTCCATACCCACCTCCACACGCCCTCCATACCCCACCCTCCTCCACGCCCTCCACACCCACTCCTCCACGCCATCCATACCCACACCCACTCCACCCTCCTCCATACCCACACTCCTCCATGCCCTCCATCACCCACACTCCACGCCCTTCCATACCCACACCCCTCCACGCCCTCCATACCCACACCTCCACCCCTCCCCCACTCCCTCCACCCCCCTACCCTCCTCCATGCCCTCCATACCCACACCTCCTCCACCCCCACACCCTGCTCCCTCCACGCCCTCCATACCCACACTCCCCCACGCCCTCCATACCCCACACTCCTCCACCCTCCACTCCCTCCACACCCTCCATACCCACCTCCCTCCACGCCCTCCACCCACACCCACAGTCCTCCCACGCCCTCATACACACTCCTCCCTCCCTCCATACCCACCTCCACCTCCATGCCCTCCATACCCACCCACCCCTCCTCCTCCACGCCCTCCATACCCACACTCCACCCTCCATACCCACACCTCCCACGCCTCCCCTCCACCCTCCATACCCCACACTCCCACCCTCCATACCACAACCCCTCCACGCCCTCCACCCACACTCCTCCACGCCCTCCATACCCCACCTCCCGCCTCCATACCCACACTCCTCCACACCCTCCATCCACCCCACCCTCCTCCACCCTCCATCCACCCACACTTATCCACGTCCTCCATACCCACACTCCTCCGCCCTCCATACCCACACAGCCTCCCACCCCACCCCCCCATCCTCCACCCTCCATACCCACTCCTCCACGCCTTCCATACCCACACTTATCCACGCCCTCCATACCCACACTCCTCCATACCACCTGCCCCATACCACCATGCCCTCCATACCCACATCCTCCATACCCATATTCCTCCAGGCCCTCGATACCCACGCCCCTCTTCCATATCCAAATCCCTCTTCCACAGCCACACTCCTACTCCATGCCCTGCATACCCACACTCCTCCTCCACGCCCTCCATACCCACACTCCTCCACGCCATCCACACCCACACTCCTCCACGCCATCCCTACCCACACTCCTCCATGCCCTCCACACCCACACTCCTCCACGCCATCCATACCCACACTCCTCCATGCCCTCCATACCCACACTCCTCCATGCCCGCCATACCCACATCCTCCATGCCCATACTCCTCCAGGCCTTCTATACCCACGCCCCTCATCCACGCCCTTTGAAGACCAGACTTGACCAGCACTGGAGCAGGTTCAGATACATTCAACCTTCAGGAGCCAGTGCATGCCCAGTACATGCTAACATTGCGTAGACTCAAGAGACGTGACCGACCGCCGAAGCGGCGAACGAACCGATCAGTGGCGAAGAGGATAAAAGTAAAAGTGAGTCACAAGGTGACGGCTATTTTGTTTCGAGTTCCGCTATAGAGAGGACTTACAACCTTGAAGATCGACTTAAGTGTCAACTGGGAGATACAATTTTGTAAAAACTTTTGAGTATTCGGCCTCTGAATACAGATGTAGTGTAAATTTATTTTTTTTGAATTTTGGGAATGACTTCCATCACCGCATTTACAATTATCACAATATATTAACAATTAGTATTGTAGGTAAAATTACATTACACTATTCAATAGTATTTACTCGTTTTCTTTTAAGCCGGAAGTAAGTAAAGAGCACCTGATGTATAAATTCTTTATTCCTTTTTTTTCACCTATCTATCTGAAATCGACATAATGCGTATTTTTTTATATTACGTAAATGAATAGGTGTAACAAATTGATTGTAGCAGGTATACACAGTAAGTATTAGATAAAATAAAACTGACCTACAGTACTACTGGTACTACTACTAATACAATAAAAACAATTGTTATTATTACTACTATTGCTACTAACACTACTCTTAATAAATATAACAATATTTTTTACTGTTAGGGAACAATAAGAATGACGATGATAAATGGTAAAGATCTTACAACTACTACTAGTACTACTACAGCTGCTACTACAATAACATCAACAACTACTAGTTTACTGCTACTACTAATAATAATTATAAAAAGGAGTTTCATAGACGTGTAAACCTTTAGGTAATTATTGTGTTCATGTTAACCTTCAAATTCCAGCCGTTTGTTTGTCTATTAAGATGAATTAAGGTGTTGGAGTCAGTTTAGAAAGAGTGACATGAGTCGGACCTGACCTTTGTCGAAGTTTGTGAAGGTGAATCATCGATTAGTATCGACAACTGCTCAACTGTATAAGAGGAGGAAAATGGCGTCTTCAGAACATGGTTTCCAGAGTAGAGTATCATAGAAAACGGGAAATATTTATACTTAATGGGAAAGTTGGTTATCTACTTATCATAGAAAACGGGAAATTTGCATCATAGAAAATGGGAAATATCTACTTTCCGGGAAAGTTGGTTATCTACTTTCCCGAAAAGTAGATTTTTTTTCTACTTTTCGGGAAAGTAGATTATCGACTTTTCTGGGAAGTAGAGTATCGACTTTTGGGGAAATATTACCTAATTTTGCGAAGTAGATTATCATAGAAAACGGGAAATTTGTATCATAGAAAATTGGAAATATATCTACTTTCCGGGAAAGTTGGTTATCTACTTTCCCGAAAGTAGATTTTCTACTTTTCGGGAAAGTAGATTATCGACTTTTCTGGGAAGTAGAGTATCGACTTTTGGGGAAATATTACCTAATTTTGCGAAGTAGATTATCATAGAAAACGGGAAATTTGTATCATAGAAAATGGGAAATATCTACTTTCCGGGAAAGTTGGTTATCTACTTCCCCGAAAAGATAGATTTTCTATTTCGGGAAAGTAGATTATCGACTTTTTGGAAAGTAGATTATCGACTTTTGGGGAAATATTACCTAATTTTGCGAAGTAGATTATCATAGAAACGGGAAATTTGTATCATAGAAAATGGGAAATATCTACTTTCCGGGAAAGTTGGTTATCTACTTTCCCGAAAAGTAGATTTTTTTTCTACTTTTCGGGAAAGTAGATTATCGACTTTTCTGGGAAGTAGATTATCGACTTTTGGGGAAATATTACCTAATTTTGCGAAGTAGATTATCATAGAAAACGGGAAATTTGTATCATAGAAAATTGGAAATATCTACTTTCCGGGAAAGTTGGTTATCTACTTTCCCGAAAAGTAGATTTTTTTTCTACTTTTCGGGAAAGTAGATTATCGACTTTTCTGGGAAGTAGAGTATCGACTTTTTGGGAAATATTACCTAATTTTGCGAAGTAGATTATCATAGAAAACGGGAAATTTGTATCATAGAAAATTGGAAATATCTACTTTCCGGGAAAGTTGGTTATCTACTTTCCCGAAAAGTAGATTTTTTTCTACTTCTCGGGAAAGTAGATTATCGACTTTTCTGGGAAGTAGAGTATCGACTTTTGGGGAAATATTACCTAATTTTGCGAAGTAGATTATCATAGAAAACGGGAAATTTGTATCATAGAAA